CGAAGAGCTATGTCGGTGACCTAGCTAATTACCTCGTTTCAGATTTGATCCCTCAGAGAAACTCCAAGCATAGCTCATTCCGTAGCTCGTTACAATAAATGTTTGAAGGATATTATTGACCTTCCTTTAAACTTATTTATTAGACAACTTTAAGCTGATTCCAGCTAAAATTTGGATATTATAATACACGGTATTAAACGGTAAATATTTTACATATTTACCGTTTAATTATTCGCGTTAAAACCCAACCAAGCATGTCACAAAATCAGCGCTTGAACAACTAATTCTAACGGTAGCATAAATGCTTTCAACGTTAGCTGTATTCATAATTACAGGCAATAAACTGTAACTATTTACATATACGTAATCTCCATATTCTAGCTGTGAAATATTACTTTTGTTGAGATAATAAAAATTTAAACTCACTGCAGGCGGTCTCATTTTTATAATAAAAGAGCTAACATGATCCGAGGCGACTTTGTTCATTCCGACCATATCTTGTTTCCAGCATCCGTTCCAACACTAAAACAGAGTCAGCTGAATCATTATTCAAAGGCTTATATGCATAAAAATAAGTGTCAACAAGTCCAGCCAGTGATAAGCAAAAATCCAGTGCCTCAACAATGTTCCTCACTTAATCTCCTTTATGAATGCGCTTCTGTATTTCGACGTTCTTTTTATTTTTACTGTGGCTTTTGAATTTTCCACCCAAGTGATTACCTACATTAAAATCATGGAGCATGTGAGGTTTTGTATGATTAATGGCCGGGACTGGCACTTAATACAACCCTTGTTTATTCTAATGTCGACGGGCAGAGGCCTTACATTGTGAAGAACGGCGGAACGGATGCCCGACGTTTGGTATCCCTCACGGTGGATAAATGCGACCGGTTTGAGAAACAAACAACGAATTAGTAGTTGTGACGTTTTTACTACCCTATTTTATAAAAAAGAATCAAGATTCTCTGGTATAATTAAAATACATTCTTAATTACCATACTTAAAATTGTATTGATCAGTCTTGTTATGCATGAAGATTTTAATATTTTTATGCCTTTCCAAAAAGTTACGGTCTCGGTAGTCTAGCGGCTTCGTGCTTTATCTCAGATGGTCGCGAGTTCGTTTCCTCGGACGGTACAAAATTTGTATTAAAGAGTATGATAGTTTGATGGTCTGGATGATTTCTATATACGTTAAGTATGTATTTAAAAAAATACCTACACAGTTATATCAGTTGTCTAGTGCTCATAACACAGGTGGCTCGACTTAGCCAGGACATGTTCTCAAGGTATGCTGTAGTGCGTAGAAGTGAAAATATTTCAAAGAAAGTAATAGGTACCTATGAATGTGAATAACTGTGGGTTATAAGGATAGAGGAAGGCCGAAAAAGACTGTAGAAATAGAAATAGACACTGTGTAAGAGATGATATAGCAAGAAAGGGAGTAAATAACAATATGACTGTAAACAGAGATGAATGGAAGAGAAAGACATATTACGCCCCAAACGAATGGAATAAGGAAGAAGCAGATCTTGATTCGTCAAGGTATCAAGATATCTATATGCAACGATACAGTGTAGGACACTAGTTCAACGTGATATATGACCTCCATAAAGACTATTTCAATTGTGCCGTGTCCACTATAACAACGCCTCACAGTTCGGCTTGCAGTTTCCATTTCGACGCCCGCACAATACATGTATCAATATAAAGCCATCAATACACTTCCGGCGTTCAAGTTTTCCTATACAAACGTTCACCAGTCGTCAGCGGTATCGCTCCACATGAGTGTGACAGTTACACGTTCATATCATGTGAAATATCACCAACATTTGAACATTGGATAGGTAACGAAGTTTCGAAGTTCTGTACGCAATACGTATATGGTTTTAAGCGGCAGTCACACGGCACGATTCGAGGGTTTGGCAGTTCCGAGCCGTCCGATTTTATTATTTTGTCGGGGACAAAGTATAATGTAAATAAATTAATGAATATAATGTCGATCAATCAAAATATTTTTATTCATGTAGGTCTCTTACATACTCTTATGATATTTCAAATCTATTGCCAGTTCGGAGTACTTTCGAACTAAGTAAAACTGACAAGAAACACAGCTCTTATTATTTTCAACTGGTCTTATACATGATTAGAAAAATACATTTTTAAATTAAATTAGGGACTTATAGTACTGTGAATATATTCAGATTATAAAACTTATCAATACAAACAATTATACAAAGAATACAAACAAATATTTTAAATCACTTATATTATACAGAATATTTTCAACTTAGGTAACTATCTTATGTATTTAAAAGGAGATTTCAGTTTCGCATAATATATTTTTAAAAAATCCTTTAATAAATATGTTTCAATTTAGATCTTTTAGCAAAAATACTGCACCTGTTCTTCAATTTGACTAGGATATGTTTGGTCTTATCAAATACTGGTGCGATAAGCATGTGACTGACGCTTAACACTGTACTTGTAAACTTTTGATCGGGCGATACATGCTCGCTGTATTATATTTTTTGTCTTGTCGAATACTGTTACGACGAACATGTTACTGACGCTTAAAACCGCACTTGTAGACTTTTGAACGTACGATACATGGTCGTGGTATATTTTTGTTCTTGTCGTATAGTGTTACGCCAAGCATGTGAGTGATGCTTAAAATCGCACTTGTAAACTTTTGAACGTGCGATACATGGTCGTGGTATATTTTTGTTCTTGTCGTATATGTAGTGCTACACCGAGCATGTGACTGACGCTTAAAACCGCACGGGCGATACATGGTCGGTGAGGTGTGCGGTCCCGGCCGCGCTGCGCCGCTCGCTGCCACTGACAAATATTTTTATTCCGCTGCATTATATGTGGTGCATGTTTTTTGTTTCGGTTAGGTCAGCCAGCTACGTTATCAACGAATATATTATGTTGTATGTTATTTAAAAATATTTTTTTCTCTTTTTTTATTTAGAGTCTTAGACTGGCAATATTAAGCATGTTAGCTCGTCATAGCTTCTAAATTAATTACATACATTAGTATGAACATACTTTATTTTTATATTACATCTAAACTACTCTAAAGACAAATATTACTCATTGAACCTTTTGTCTACAAATTCATAAATTCCTATAATATACTTTAAAAATTGCCTAAATTATGTTTGTTAAATTTATTTCTTTTACATTACGTCTGTTCGAAGCTGACTAGTATATTGTATATGAAGAGCATCAGACTGACTCTTAAACCGCACTTGTAAACTTTTGAACGTGCGATACACGGTCATGGTATATTTTTGTTCTTGTCGAATAGTGTTACACCGAGCATGTGAGTGACGCTTAAAACCGCACGGGCGATACATGGTCGGTGAGGTGTGACTGACAAATATTTTTATTCCGCCGCATAGTATGTAGGGCAAGTTTTTTGTTTCGGTTAAGTCAGCCAGATACGTTATCAACGAATATATTATGTTGTATGTTATTCAAAAATATATTTTTTCTCTTTTTTTATTTAGAGTCTTAGACTGGAAATATTAAGCATGTTAGCTCCGTCATAGCTTCTAAATTAATTACATACATTAGTATGAACATACTTTATTTTTATATTACATCTAAACTACTCTAAAGACAAATATTACTCATTGGTCTACAAATTCATAAATTCCTATAATATACTTTAAAAATTGCCTAAATTATGTTTGTTAAATTTATTTCTTTTACATTACGTCTGTTCGAAGCTGACTAGTATATTGTATATGACGAGCATGTGACTGACGCTTAAACCGCACTTGTAAACTTTTGAACGTACGATACATGGTCGTGGTATATTTTTGTTCTTGTCGTATAGTGTTACGCCGAGCATGTGAGTGACGCTTAAAACCGCACGGGCGATACATGGTCGGTGAGGTGTGCGGTCCCGGCCGCGCTGCGCCGCTCGCTGCCACTGACAAATATTTTTATTCCGCTGCATTGTTTGTGGGCCGTGCTTTTTGTTTCGGTTATCGATTTTGGGAGTATGCCAATACGCTTTTAAGGCTAATCGAACAGTATGGTTTTTAGGGTTCCAAATACAAATATATATATATTTACTCTTAAGGTTACACGTAAGATGCACTAAGCATATATATTCTAGAAACTATTAATGATTTTTAAATTTGGAATATAGCCAGCAAATAATTTTAAATTTCAAAGTTAAGTTTAAAGACAAACTTGCTGTCCCCAAGTATTGTTTAGAAAAAGTTAATAGGTCTTTTATGGGAATAGGTATAAAAATTTACAATAAGATACCAAAGGATATGTTGGAATTACCCTTAAATAAATTCAAAACATCTGTTAAATCATATTTACTGAGCAAAGCCTATTACTCACTAAACAATTACTTGAATGACAAGTGTGCATGGCAATAGTTGTTCATGTACTGAATTTTCATTTAATGTAATATGTAGACATAGACACCTATATAAAAATTGTAAATAAACTGGCTTTAAAGAAAAAGTAATTCAATTGAGTTTTTTGCCAGTTCTTCTCAATTGGATCTATATACCGAACTGGACGGTAGGGAAAAAATAAAATTATAATGTAAAAATTTGACGTTCATAAGCGGCTAAAATGTCCTACATGAATAAATGATTTTTGAATTTGAATTTGAATTTCAAAATGCAAGCACGAAATTTAAAAATAGTCGTAGTAGTTGTAGTATATGTATATATTTTCATTATGTTATTATAAACTATCTTCCCGCCCTGACTTCGGGCGTACATGTATTATACATATAAACCTATCTATTGAATTACTCTATCTATTTAAAAAATTATCTGAATTAAAAAATTACGTACTTTAAGAGAGCTAAGCGAACAGACAGAAGAAACTACTTTACACTATGTAAAGAACACTTTTAATTTATTCGATCTAAACGAGCAGACAGCGGAAATGACTTAATTTTATTACTATGTAAAGGTTTAAAGAGTTTTTTTTAATTCCTTTCTTTCTTCTTTCCAGCTTCGACGTCCGCGGTAAACACCTCTCCGAAGCGCGCCACTGGTCCGCCCCTGAGGTGTTTGGTCCGCGAGCACACTTCGCCACCTCCCCCCCTCCCGCCGCACTCCTGGTCCGCGACGTGAAGCGTCGTGATGAAGGCGTCTACCGTTGCAGGGTCGACTTCAGAAACACCCAGACCACCAGCTTCAGATATAACCTCACTGTTGTTGGTAAGTTGCTTTAAATTTAGTAATTTTATACTACGATGGTGGCCAACAAGTGTTACATATGAATGTGGATGGTTATAAGGGTAGAGGAAGACCGAAAAAGAGATGGATGGACTGTGTGAAAGATGACTGCGAGCAGAGATTAATGGAAGAGAAAAACATATTACGCCGACCCTAAATAAATGGGAGAAGAAGCAGATGATGATGGTGGCCAACAAGTATACGGCCTGATGATGGTGAACAGTTCTTATGGATGATAATGGAATGGAGCATACATTAGTTGCCTTATCAGTGGAGGATGATAGGATGAGGTCAGGTCGAGTCAGGTTAGCCGATCGTGGTAAATTCACCATGAATTAATTACCATAATTTTCAAGGGGTATCGGTGTAGTGGTCAACCTGATATGGTACATTTCTAGCAGATGGTGAACAGTTTTTTTATACTATGTTGGCAAACAAGCATACGGCCCATCTAATGGTAAACATTTACCATAGCCTATGGACGCCTGAAACTCCAAGGATATTACGTGCGCGTTGCCGGCCCTTATGCTGTTTCAGGTATTTATAGGCTATGGTAATATAGTTGTGTTATGATAGTATATGGTGTTTATAGTTGTAAAAAATTCGTTAGCTACCGTTATTTAACCAAATATATGGTTAGCTACCTATAAAATGCGGTTATTAACGGTTAGTTATCTAAAAACGACAAAGAAAAAAAGTAAAAATCTGGTAAGCTGGACCATCAGCATTAGAGTTGTCCGAAAAAAAATAGAAATATATCTCATCATGAACACAAAACGTACCATACGAGGAATCAAACCCGCGACCATCAAAAATAAAGCAGTCTACTAAACCGTTAGACCATCGGGGTGGAATATTTTCAAAAGGCCTTGAAACAAAACAATGTCAGCGTTCACACGACTAGCCTGTTATTACGTTTGCGTTCCACGGATACGTGTTAATAACACGCCTGATATAAAGGCAACGTGACCAGACGTCCCGTTTTAAACGGGACTGTCCCTTTTTATAATTACGAGTCCCGGTGTCCCCAAAATAAACTCAAAGACGCAAAAATTGTCCCATTTTCGGAAACTGCGAAAATTTCAATATCAATCAATTCAATCGAGCGAGCCAGTGATGTTAATTATTATTGATAATGAAAGTGAATAATAGTGACCTTTTATATTCGGACTACCCTAATGCTGTTGGCTGCAGCTGGCCTTTACAGCTTCACCGGACGATAGGGGGCGAGTGCAGATGGCACTCCAAACCAAAGGAAGGACTTAAGGAGCGGCTGAAGACCAACTCCCGCCTGACGGATACGACTTTAGTCTGAGGGCACCGCTAGGGGTTCGAACCTCGGCTCAGGCCGTGGACAATTTCGATCCCTGTTTGGCATACATACACTTATTTATTGTATTTATATATTCTATATATCAACATCCACACTGTACATTTACACACAACATTATAATCAATTGTATTTATTCTATATCCACATATATTCCATACTGAAACACACTACACACGTTACCTGTACAATCGGTTAAACAGCCGTGCATTTGAATTGAAAGGGGAATCGATGGGAAGGGGTAGGTACCTATAAAAAACGTGCCAAGACTTTCAGTCTTACTATATAATATTATCTGTGGTCTAGCTTAAAAGCCCCTCCGATCGATCCCCCGTCCAATTCAAACGGGGATCGAAATTACGACGGCCTGAGCCGATGTTCGAACCCCTAGTGGTGCCCTCAGACTAAAGTCGTATCCGTCGGACAGGAGTTGGCCTTCAGCCGCTCCATAAGTCCTGCCGCGGGTTTGGAGTGCCATCTGCACTCGCCCCATAACGTCCGGTGAAGCTGTAAAGGCCAGCTACGGCCAACAGCATTAGAGTAGTCCGAAGAAAAAACAATAGCCTAAAAGCTTCACTAGCTATATTAAAGCAATCTGTTCATCCGATAATAATTAACTTTTAAGCTAACTATTTCTCGATAAATAACTTTAAGTAATTGTTTTTTTCATTGTCTGTCTTGAAAGAAAGAAAGAAAGTAAGAAAGAAACAATATTTATTCAGTGCTTTTCAACAATGTTACAATATAAAAAATATACAAACGTAAAAAAATGTTTAAATATAATGTACATAGAATTAAACTTAATTTACCATGTAGATAATTAAAAATAAACATAAAATAGTCATTTTTTACATGCATGTAGGCACTGAAATGGCTCCACTTCGCTTTATTGTACGTCCTATGTGAATATATAGCTGGTTTTCAGTGGCACCAAAACGGGGAAAAAAGTATATATATATAAAATGTATCTATGTATTTGTATCAGTTATCTAGTACCCATAACACAAGCTTTGGCTAACTTAACTTGGGTCTAGATGACGCTGTGTGAATTGTCCTGAGATTATTATTTTTTAAACGTTAACAAAACAAAAATTCTCATCTCCCCTTTTAAGGAGAGGAGATAGCAACTTATTAAGATTATTAACTTATTATTATTATATAAAAAGGGGAGAGAGAGAGGGCACTATTTAAAATATTAATAATAATAATTAAAATAAAATTATAACTAATAAATACAAACCAATTACATATACTAGAAAGAACGAATAGAATAAAACCAATGTCCTGTTTTAAGTCAAAGAATGGTCACGATTGATATAATGGCAACATCTGCGGGTGACCATTTTAAAAATTACGTCACAATCATGACAATCATGTTGTTTATCAGAGCAATTCTTGTCAACGCCACAAAAACCATGTATTAAAATACTTAAATTACCCCTGGACGGTGTATATTTTGATGGATTTCCTCGAGTCCGTAGACATATTCAAATTCAATTGTGAGTAGCTATGACGTGGTCTGGTGTTTTGAGTAGTCATGCTCACTAAAATGTCCAGACTTGTGGCGGCGTGGTGGGCCGGGTCATTGGGCTCCCTAAAATATGGTCGAGCGCAGTGGTGGCTGGCTCATCCGTCATACTCGTGAACGGGTGCTGCTTGTGTGGACTGGTCTGCTCTAATCACTATGACTTATTTTCTCTTATTACTTGTTTAACCAGTTGTTGTATATGGAATGTTTTTTTTTCTATTTTATTATTTCATTGAATTAGTGCTAATCGGTTGTTTGTATTCACACACTTAAACTTAAATTGTAAGTAAGAATAAATTATTTAAAAGAGCAACACACAAGTTTCTTGCTTGTTCTTCTTGTGATGAGACAGCATTCCGAATGAGCGGTAGATTAAAAAAAAAAATGTTATGACTATTCAAAAGTGCTTCAATGTAAGTTTATTTGAATAAATGATTTTCTATTCTATTATATTCTATTCAAATTCAAATTAAAAAATCATTTATTCATGTAGGACATTTTAGCCGCTTATGAACGCCAAGTTTTTACATTATTATTTTATTTTATTTTTTGCCGTACCATCCAGTTCGGAATATATATCCAATTGAGAACTGGTACTGGGAAAATCGGTCCAGCCATTTTAGAGATGAGCAGGAACAAACGGACTGACAGACAGACAGAAATTGTAAAAAATATTTTTTTGATGTATGTACCGTATTTATATATATTTTTTTTTTATTTATTTATTTATTAGAAACCAACAGCGTTACAATTCAATTTACATTAATGTATGTTGTAATATTAAAGCCACTATAGGTTTCACTTAATTAACACAAATTATGTAGTATTGGCTTGCGCTAAAACAAAATAACAAAATAGGAAATCAACGAATTAAACTGAACACATAAAAAAAATGAATTAAATGAATGATTGAATGAATGAGTGTGGAAGCTATACATCTCCATATAATATATACTACACACTGATGCCGGTAATTTGTCCATACAATATTCATATGCATGTAGTAAAAAACGGTTATTTCAATATTACAAACAGTCACTCCAATTTTATTTATATGTATAAAGTATAGATAATACGTAATTCCCTATAAACCGTCTCTGTTCCCGAATATATTCTATTCTAAAACTAATAGATAACGTAAATGGTTCAGCAATGCACGATCTTAATTGTTTGCTTTGGTGCCGTTTGACTCTACACTAGCCGGCTGCTGTTACTGCGCAAGGATACACGCCGGCTCGCACCATAGACTTATGGTTCGGCATTATAGCTGACTCTGGTTCGTTAACTCGCCTGATGAATGACTGTTTGGGTGTTTTGTTACAGTGCTATACGAGTGTTGAGTGTTGTAACTGTATTTATTTATTTATTTGTTTGTTTATCTAAATATATATATATATAACTCAAAGGTGACTGACGTAGTGATCTATCAACGCACAGCCCAAACCACTGGACGGATCGGGCTGAAATTTGGCATGCAGGTAGACGTTATGACGTAGGCATCTGCTAAGAAAGGATTTTGATTAATTCTACCCCCAAAGGGATAAAATAGGGGATGAATGTTTGTATGAAACTTTGTCAATTTTAAACCGATCGGGCTGAGACTTTGCATGCATAAAGCTACTATGACGTAGGCATCCTCTAAGAATTGATTTTGATAAATTCCACCCCTAAGAGGATAAATAACGCGAGCAAAGCCGCGGGCAAAACAAACGGGGATCGAAATTACGACGGCCTGAACCGAGGTTCGAACCCATAGCGGTGCCCTCAGGCGGGAGTTGGCCTTCAGCCGCTCCATAAGTCCTTCCGTCGTTTGGAGTGCCATCTGCACTAGCGCCCTATCGTCCGGTGAAGCTGTAAAGGCCAGCTGCGGCCAACAGCATTAGAGTAGTCCAAAAAAAAGAAGTAGATGATGTACATACTAAAGAGCAATATATAAAAGATCATATACATTCTATTATATGTAATAGAAAGGTTACATATTGGAATATTATTCCTGTAGTTTAGATTTTGAAATAAATCTACTCCTGTATTACTATTTTAGGAAGGACAGATTGAAAGTTTACGAACTGGATTGCTGTCCTCGTTGCTCTACAGAATTATATATTTTTTGACCTGTAGCATTGC